CTTTACTTTTATGAAACTTTGCTTTATGAAAGCTAACTTCATTTATGAAACATTACTTTTATGAAACTCAATTTATTTACTTTGGGATTTTTTTCTTTTTATATGCCAGTATAGTTATGGCCAACACCAGTCACAATCTCTCCCAAGGCTAACTAAATGTTTCTCTCGTTTGGTAACTGTTTCTCTAAAAGGCGAGCCATTTCGAGAGCGTTTTTCTTAGCTTGGAGTTCATCTAATTATAAGGAAGTGCGGTTAGCCGTATGCAAAGAAGCTAAATTCTCTTTTCGGCTTCCTGTTTAAGATCTCATCAAACTTGGAACCGACTAAGAAATGACTGTCCGAATTGGAGTAATCTTCAGAAATCACTTTCAAAGTTATTGTATTTGAAATTGGATGAGAATCACCTCCGCTTGCGTTCGCCAGGAATTGTTGTGACTCAAAAACTAGATACACTTGAATTAAACCAGGTAAGGCTAATAAGTGATCCTATCTATCTACAGTCAAAAGTCTTCGTGTGCTAAATTTCAAGATATTCACATAACAGTTCTGAATAGGTGTATAAGAAAGGAGGAAAGGGCAATACGTTGAGGTGCCTATGCTGAACAAAAAGACCACATTCTGCGCTACGTCCCACACCTAAATTTAGCCCAATTCATTGTTTCGAATTAACGAGACTATCAGTCCACTGTTTGACTCGACTCTATGTTGTACTACCCTAACAAACTCAAAAAATTCATAATATTGACAACAATAAGAGAATAACAAATGAAACAAGTTGCTATTCAACCAGTGCTTATTTATTCGAGCCCTAACGAGAAGAAGTAGGCATGAAACTGAAACCATTGGCCTTTGCGATATGTTGGCTGTCTGATCGTTTTAACTGTTTTGTAAAGGATTGTCGCAAGTTTACATTGATAAGTTGAAATAGTTGTTTTATGCTGAAACATCAATGCAACGTTATCGGGTGAATTTCATCTTGAACACATCGATTAGAAAAGCAATCGGTATTTCTCCAAAACAATTCCCCGGTGATTATAGTTAATCATCTCATGAGTTGATTCGTCGCAGAAAGTAAGTGAAATTCAGGATTTTTCACAAATGCAAATTTGGCAGTCAGAAAAACATCTAATCAACAGGCTTTCATCTTCAGGTTTCAGAAAACCTGGTGACTCGGACGATTATGTGAAATTCCGGGAATTTCCGTTTGCATTGAATGGTATTTGAGAAAAATCGCATTTTTTCGAATAATTGGATAATTTTTGACTATTTTATGAGTCAGATTCGAGCGTTTATTCGAGTTGTGATATACTTTGTAATCTCATTCACTTCATCGCAAAACATTGCTCACTGATTTCATTTTTTTAAAAATAAAGTGAAAATAAATCTGACTGACAAATTCTTTCTAACTATTCTCCAACGCATTAGTTTCCTATTATCCAACGCATTAGTTTCTCAATTCAAGATTTTTTCAAACAATGGGTTAAAAATTCNTTTCGAGTTGTGATATACTTTGTAATCTCATTCGCTTCATCGCAAAACATTGCTCATTGATTTCATTTTTTTAGAAATAAAATGAAAATAAATCTGACTGACAAATTCTTTCTAACTATTCTCCAATGCATTAGTCTCCTGTTATCCAACGCATTAGTTTCTCAATTCAAGATTTTGTCAAACAATGGGTTAAAAATTCTTTTCTGTTTTTCGATGAGATGAACGGAGTTTCCATGCGCTCAGTCGACGTCTCATAGAGCGAGTCGTTGATTCTTACGATTTTGCATTATACGTACCAGTGGTCCCCGCGCTGGGGTGCTCCATTACCCCCTTCGATGGTCTGGCAGGCCGTCATTCTCTCCCCCCCCCCTCCTCCTGCTACAATAATACTGTTTCTACGCTCAATGTCAGAACTAATCTCCCGATCCCCTCCACTAGTCCCCTGACACCTCCAAATTACCCAAGAATGGGTAATTCCCCCCGCCCTCTGGGGACCCCTGATATATACAATTAAGATCAGCGAAAAGATGCGTTAGTCAATTTATAGGCTTATGAGTGTCATGTCGCAGTCGCATTTACATAATTCAGATGTGAATTTATGGTTGTTGCGGCAGTATTATAATGCGGGCGATGTTTCATCCTATTTGTGAAGTTGTTTTAAGTCTTTATACGTCCTATTGCCACAGTGCTCTTGTTTATTCATCGACGACGGACATTCGCTGTTTTGTTTTTCTCTCTTTCGGTTAGTGATCGTTGATCACGATCCATCAAATTTTGCTAATTTAGTATCCAATCATAAAGACTTCATAACAGTCCAAAAATATATCTTCGCAGAAACGTTGCTAATTCCCAATCATTTTCATGATTCATGCAGTTCCATTCATGCATGATTGATTGTTTGAGTTGAGTTTACATATTCCGATGATGCACTTCACAAAATGTCTTATCACATTGCTTCTGCTTAGTCGATAATTTATCACTGTCATTACTCGGCGTGATATACTGCTGACATACAACGGCAGTAAAATAGTGCAGTGTTGTTTGAATCAAAGAGTGAAAGGGCGTTGTTTCATTGAATTCGCTTGAAAATTTATTGATATTGCACTTGCCTTTGGATAGTATTTCTGCTTGAAAATTCAAATTGCGTTGCGAATATTTTATCTTTAACAAAGGTTTTACAATATTTTGTCACGTTTGTTGCAAGTAGAAGGCGGAATGATGTTGACACTAGCCAAACTTTCATCGTACAATGAAAATCGAAAGGATGTGCGCATTGCACATCCAAAGCGCATGTCTGAAAGACAATCAAATTTGTGTTTTACATTAAAAATTTTTATTTTACTAACTGGTTTATTGCTTTTCTCGGTTTCGTCATCATTTGCTACGATGAGTCGTCACCAATTCTGCCTCTCTTTATCAGTTTTATATTGTTTTTCAAACGTTGTGTGTAGTATTTTTGTGTTCTGTTTATCTATCGGAACAGGAAAAAACCAGAGAACAGCTGTACAAATTTTGGCCGATACCAAATGTTTATTTACATTTGCGCACAACTAAAAATTGGATCGTTTTTCAACTTTCTATCTTCAAACATTGTTTGTTTCTTTTTTTTTGAACCATTCACAGAGCTGTTCGAAGCGATGAGTTCAGTTCATTTAAATTCGCATATTTCTGTGCCCACTTGACAATCAGTTCGAAAACGTTTTTTGCTCCGAAAAATATTGCATTCATTTATGTATTTTTTTCATTTCTTCTTTTCGTAGCTAGTGAGTGAAATGCAAATGTAATATTCGCAGTTACTCTCATCAAAAAATGCAATTGATTTTTCAATCATTATTTTCTTCGAAAATCCGTCATTGCTGCTTATGGAGTGTTTCTTGTGACGTTAATTGCCCTAATGCAGTGGTTCTCATAGGCAGTGTGGGATTCGAGCTTGTGAGTGCGAAGAGTTTAACAAATCTGCGTTCCGTAAAAGTTCAATAACACATTCAGAGTGCTTTTTTGATCACTAACAACAAATGAATCGTTTGATACTCCCGTCAAGTCATTTAGGATAATGTGACGAGACAAGACGAGTGTGTGTCGTTCTCGGTCGTTGAGTGAACTTCATTTGATATGTTTTCATACTTTCGGTGATTTAAGACTCAAGTCTGCTTTCAGCTTGGTGTAGCGCAATGGATGTCGTAACAGCTACTCGACAGTATATCTCGGAGATGATAAGACTAGCAGGTCCCGGGATGAAGGTTATGATGATGGATAAAGAAACGGTTAATATTTGTTTGCTGTTTCATTCGTTCATTTGTTTTTCGNTTTTTCAAATTGATTGAAGCAGCAGATTAATCGTAAAACTTATTCCATTAAAACTGATTTCTTCACATTCTGAAAACCCTGATAAGTGTTCATGAAAATAACTTCAGACAAGTGTCGTATCGTGCGTATATGCGCAAAGTGATGTAATGCAAAAAGAGGTCTATTTGTTCGAAAGATTGGATTCAGGTGCCGTTCGGTGAGTGGTTCGTTCTTGTTTGATTTATAGTAAGTAATGCGCTCATATAGATTCATCCGCTTATGGGCAAAAACTCATTTGCAACCATTCAAAAACACGCTGCCAAAATTCATTAATCACAATGATGTGTATTTTTATTTGCTGATTTAATGGGTTTGCTTCTCGGTCCGTCCAATTGATTGGCAGTTGCTTCACATTTGATTGCGCTCTAATGTCCACTTTCAATTCTTGCTTCGTTTCAACTTCAATGTTCACGAGTATTTGATTTTTGCTATTGATTCGTTCATTCAACAGAAATGTTTTTTCTTTCTTTCAGAGATCCAATCAAGCATCTCAAATGCGTTGCGTTTTTAAGACCAACACCCGAAAATGTTCAGTTATTGGCCGAGGAATTGCGATCGCCCAAATACGCACAGTATTACATATGTGAGTGCATATTTCTCTGCAACAAACTGAATAAAAACATCACTTCGGTCTTTCGTTTAAATATGAAAGTTGAGAATAGACGTTTACGAATCCAAGTGTTAGTTTTTTCTCTCCGAAGCTAAATAAGGTGCAGTTGATTTGTTCGAAATGCTGACAAATGAAATGTTGTTTGGGTGCTGAGACAGAATGCTGAAGTTTTCATTGGTGCAACATGGAACCTCTCCATCGTCCGTCCACCGAGACTTCATCATTTCAGATCGTAAATCTTAGTGATATGTATACTCAACTGTTCTCGATCCAACTTGAATTGTCTTCAAGAACTAAGAAATTTAATTGATGGCAGAACTCGTCTTCTGTGAATTATTCCTAAATTTTCTTTCGTCTCAAAACGATAGCTGGATAACATTTTCAGATTTCTGTAACATTATCAGTAAAACCGATGTTAAAATATTGGCCGAAGCGGACGAGCAAGAGACGGTGAGTTCTTAATGATTACTCGAGAAAAGAAAACTTCCTCAATATTCGATTTTTTTTTTGCACAGATTCAAATAGTAGTTCTTGAAGTTATCCATTAGTCTCGTAACAATTCGAAATGTTTTATTACGAATGACCTCATTATACGAAAAGGTTTATCAGATGTCGTGTTTAGCGATGGGATGATTAAAATTTCTGTTATCTCTGATAGCATTGTTTGACATTCGTCGCTTATTCCTGGGCCGTATTTGCATTCCGTTCTCATCACCTCGATTTCTGTTTTTTGTCATCTTAATACGTTTCAACATCTGATAAAATCATATACGCAACATTAAAATGAGTAGACAACTGTTTAGGTGAGAGAAATGCATGAATTCTACATGGATGCGGTACCGTTATGTTCACATCTGTTAACATTGAATATTGAGCTGAGTTACGGCCCAACCTTCTCAATAACACCGTCTGTTTTCCGTCGTTCGTTGCAAGCCCTCATAGCCACTCTTCTGGCCGTCAAGAAAAAGCCTTCGATAAGGTTCCATTTTATTCTTCTTTATCAACTGGATAAATACTGTCTGATGTTGGCATTAACGAAGATGAATTAGTTTTTACCGCGAGGTAATGTTAAAAACATCGATTTTTTGCTGGTAAATTCGCGATAGTTTTACGATTGTTTTGCTCATATTCACTGATAGTCAATCTATAGTGACAATCATTGGTTCATTTTGAAGATATCAGAGTTCATCGCGGGACAGCAAACGGTTAGCGGACGAAGTGATGAAAGCGATAATACGTGAAGAGAGTTTATTTGAGACTTCAAAATCGGATGCATTACTTCTGATTGTCGATCGCAGTGACGATCCGGTCACTCCACTCCTCAATCAGTGGACTTATGAAGCAATGGTTCTCTAAAATTGTTCATTTCGTTCAGTGATTGATCATTTCTACTAAATTCTTTGAAATTTGTGCAGCTTCTGGAAGTCTTACATAGATGAAACTGCATTGATCAGAAATGTTTCATTTGAGGTGCATGAACTGCTGGGAATAAGAAATCATCGTGTCAATATGGAATCAGTTCAAGATGCTGGCATTGTTCTTCTCTCACCAATGCAGGACACATTTTACGCGAAGGTTCGTGGATCTGTTCGGTCGTTTTCAATAGTTCTGTGTGTATATTTACTTGCTGTTCCGTTGCATAACTGTGCACTGGTGATACATTCATAAACGTGAGCTCTTCGACAAGTGTAAGTAACGGTTTGTAATGTTCTAGAATATGTATGCAAATTTCGGTGAAATTGGACAGAATATTAAAGAATTGATGACTGATTTTCAACGAAAAGCACAAACGAATCAGAAATTAGAATCTATTGCCGATATGAAAAACTTCGTTGAGCAATATCCACAATTCAGGAAAATATCTGGTTGGTGGATTTTTTGAATTTTGAGTTGTTTTAAATATTGCATTCAACTGTTTTGACTGAAGACGTATTACCCGAATTTGATAGTGAAATAGCGAGTGATCGATGACACTCAAAGTTTTCTTTCGAAAAGTTATTATGAATTTTGTGCGTAAAAATTTAAGGATCTTTTATGATTTAAGGATTTATGAATAAATAAATTTTGAAAGAATGGAACTTGAAGGAACCGTATCGAAGCATGTTATGGTTGTTGGTGAATTATCACGAATTGTTTCGTCGAATAGCCTTCTTGAAGTATCTGAGGTCGAGCAGCAAGTTGCATGTGATGGTGAGCATTCGCATTGTTTGAATGACATACGACGGTTGCTGCAAAACCAACATATCACTGATATTGTATGTTTTCTTGATTTATTAACTTTTATAACGTGTTACAACATATTCTGGCTTTGCATCTTTTCTTCGGCCAAAAATTTCTCCGTATTTTGTTTAATTTAACATTAAGACAGACTTTGCAAATTTTACTGATGATTATGTATTCGTTTCAGTTTAATTGTAATTGAATTAGTAATTTGTTTATTGGACATGAAATAATTTAATTCGGATTGTTGAAATGAAAACTTCATTATTTAGTTCAACACTTATGATAATGCACACAGCAGTCGAAGTCTTGTGAATGACCGTGAGATTTTGCAGCATAAATTTGCAATTTATGAAATTTGTGTTCTTTGAGGATGCGTGTCGATTAGTGATGTTGTATGCGCTCCGATTTGAAACACACACCAACAACGATATCAGTGGTCTTGTTCAACTCTTGAAACGTCGTACGTCAAACACACGGCTAATCAGCGTACGTTTTCTGTTCGTTCATTCAAGTCTGTGAATGTTTATTTTGCTACGAAAAGCTACCTTTATAATTCCTTCATGGTTTCGTTATTTTTAGTGAAGTTGAATAATTTCACGAAAATATCAACTAAATGCCCTTTTTAGCACTGAAACGAAACGTACTGTTGTTTAGATATTTGTGTTTTAAGCACCGAAACATTGCATTTGTGACAAGGATAGATTTCGTGGAGTGTAATGATTTTATGAATGAGTGAGTTAGAATTAAGGCCGTAAGAGCGGTTTTGGACTTTGCGGGTGCATCGCGCCGTCAGAATGACTTATTCGGTGGTAGTGCGATGGCGATGACGAAGCGCATCATAAAAGGCTTGAAAGGAGTCGAGAATATCTACACCCAACACGAACCTTATCTATGTCAACTAATTGATTCGATCGCTAAAGGACGTCTTTCCGAAACTGCATATCCACACGTCACTGCGGCACATAGGTTCGTTGAATTGATTTTGTTGTTTTTGGAGTAGTAGTCATTCATTCGTCACTTATTGTTGTTATTATTGTTTATT